ATGACAGAAGAATGCATGCCTTTGAGTTGTGGTGCTGGAGAAGAGTCTTGAACATACCATGGACTGCCAAGAAAACAAATTGGTCTGTCATGGAGAGGGTGAAGCCAAGTCTTTCCTTGGAGACTAGCATTTTGAAGCTCTGCCTCATTTACTTTCGGCACATGGTCAGGAAATGTAGGCCCTTGGAGAAGAACATCATGCTCGGAAAGGTGGATGGACAGTGCAGGAGAGGGAGATCCAAGATGAGATGGATTGATACAGGAACTGGGGTGATAGGGGTTGGTGTGTTCAAGTTAGTGAGAACGGCTCAGGACAGAGAAGAGTTCAGAGCTGCTGTAACTAGGGTCACCATACATTACAAGCGACTGAATGGCATAAAAAAACCAATACCATACTATGACAGATTTTGAAGCAGGAGTGGCATCCACTTTCTCAATAACATGCTTCTGGAAACTCTATGAACTTTGATAAATGCCAATAGTTGGGGGGGTGCTTCAGACCTTTTGTTCATAGGGTCGCTGTGAGTCGTGCCTGACTCAAAGGCAATCAACAACAACAAAACAGTAGTAGACACAATAATGAGTTCTAAATACTAAGCACAACTTTTAGATATTTCTGTGATTTTTGTTCTTTTTTGGTGATTTTTGTTATTAAAACAGCGATGATTTGAAAATGGATGGACATATGTGTCTCAAAGAACAATGGACCCTCCACTTGGGTCTTACTGGTTGGATGTGTCTGAGATGATTAACACAAAAATCTGGCTCTCATGCCTCCTAAAGATTATGGAAAGTTAGGGTATGTGGGTGGCCCAAGTGGTTTGAAATTGGCTGCTAAACAAAAGACTGGTGGTGTGAACCCATCCAGTGCCTTCACAGAAGAAAGACCTAATGGTCTGCTTCCATAAAAATTAAAGCCTATGGAGCCATTCTACTCTATTATGCATTAAGCTGGCATGCGTTTAAGGCCAAGTGGGTGAAGATGAGAATAAAAACAACAGCCACAAGTTAGTGAGAGATCCTAGAACCTCTCTTTTCAACCTGAGCTAGGGATGTAGCAAAATATAGTGAGAGAGAGCTTGGATTATGGAGTCAGACTACCTCTGTTTGAGTCACAGTTTTCAGTTTCTTTAGGTTTAAAGTTTCTTATTTGTACATGGGGATAGTAATAATACCAACTTAACAAGGGAAGCTGTTTATTTGTAAAGGGCTTGGTACCTACATCAGTGTTACAGACATTTTTGTTAAATGCCTGTGTTTCAGAAATGGAAAAAAGTTGGAATCACTCAGGAAAAGGAACCTGTTTTATAGCCCCTGGAACAGGAAAGGGCTGAGGGTTGAGGCAACATATGGAGATATGATCCTTCCTATGAGCTCCTAGATCCTGGTAACATTAGTTTTCTTTTTTCAACTTTAGTGAACACAGGGACTCTGGTGGCTTAGTGGACAAGGAATTTTGCTGCCAAACCAAAGGCAGATGGTTCAAATTGACCAGCTGCTCTATGGGAGAAAGATAGGCCATCTTTCATGCAATTTACTATACAGCTTTACAACTTGATGACACATAACAGTAACAAGTAGAAATAACTTCATGTTGTAGTTTGTAGTCTCTGGGTTATTTCAATATACTCCTCCTCCTCTTTAGTTTCTTTTAAAGTAAAACATTTTTTTCCAATGCCTATAAGACCTTCATCCAGTTGGATTGACACAGTGTGGCAATGGGCTCAAATGTGTCAGAGATTACGAGGATGTCACAGGATAGGACATGGTTCAGGTCTGTTATTTATAGGATTGCTATTTTTTGTACTCAATGGCACCTAACAACAACAATAACAATTTATTAAATATTCTGTTTAAGTACTGGGTGTGATTTTTGTTTCCTGACTGAATCTTAACTGACATATTCACCATCTAATCTTTTTCTGAGAACTTCAGGACTGTAAGACCATTGTTGATGGGTCAATTCTGACCCACAGTGACTTTTAAGGCAGAATAGAACTGTCCCTTTTGGTGTCCAAGGCTGTAAATAATTTTTCTGTTTAAGCTTTTTATATTTTGAGTGAAAGTTTGCTTAGGAAATTGGTTTTCTATTCAGTCATTCATAGAGATTTTATGACATAAATTAGTTTCTACATTGTAATAGCACTCTTCTTGCTTGTTATTACAATTTTTATTCAACCATCTATACTAATAACCCTTCTTGCCTTCTGAACTTTCTTCGTGGGAAAATATTGCCCTTTTGCTCTTGTATTATTGTTCAAAGAAGTGATTACCTTGAGGATGTATTGTTCTCCTTATAATACTGCCCATTGTTTGGCTAAAAGTTGAGACACACAGGGGTGACTTTTAGTTCCACACTCAAAGGAGACCCAAGGTCATAGTCTCAGAGGTTCCACCAGTCTTTAATTATATGAGTAAATCTAGCCATTTATATAATTTTGAGTTTTGATTGTAAATCTTTATGGGAGTAGACTGTTTCATCTTTTCCCCTTGGAATGGCTGGTGGATTTGATCTGCTGGCCTTTTGACTAGCAGCCCAACATTTAACCCACACCGTCAAGTCACCTTTAGTAAAAGGCAAGACCTTAGGAATCTGAAGTAAATAAAGTAGGTTAAAAAAATTACAGTTTAAAAAATACCTTCAGGACAGAATGTGTGACAGAATCAAAAGAAGAAGTCTGAGTTGGAATGTAAGTTCAATGATTTTTATTTTATAAATTTATACACAGACTTTTGTGTGCTCTAAGAGATATGCAGTAGAGGAAGAATAATGTGAGGTCGATTCCCAGTTAATTGGTGTAGAGTTTACCCAAGTACTCACATTTCCTCAGCTCTTCTTTTACATTATTCTCTTTGGCATGTAGTATATTATCATAGAAAATTCTCATAACATTTGACCTTCTTGAAAAGTGAATCTTGATACATTTATTATTCTGAAATAACATTGAACTAGCAATTTATTACTCAAGACAAATCTATTGATTGATTAATATATGTCAACACTGATCCAACTGCTGTGAGCACAGCAATAATAGGCCTTAGACCTTCATATTCTTGGAGATAAAACAAACAGACAATAAATAAATTTATATATCCTTCCCCTTCCCCAAACTTGAGAATCCCATAAATGCAATGCTTTTTCCCATCACATCATTTGGTCACTCACTCACACAAATTTCCTAGTCATTTGTAATTTTGTAATAAAATCCTTTTTAAAAAAATTAAAAGTGGATAATTGTAATAGTTTTCATCCTTAATGTGTTAGAGTACAAGAAAGCATTAAAAGATCAATACGATAATTTTTCAACATCCATGGAAAAATTCTTGGCAATATAAATTAGAGAAAATGTTTTAAATTTCTATTTTTATTGGCAATTAGAAAACAGTAAATAATAAAATGTTACTCTAATTTACAGTCAAGTCACCTCCTCAGAATATTATTATGTTTGGAAAGATTAGATTTATGAATAATCACTTACATGTTAATATTTTGAAAAATTTCAATAATCTTATCATAAATAGAATCAGATAATAGTGGAATTCCTTTGTAGATATTTAGTTACCTTCTGAATAATTGTCTCTATTTGGGGGAACATTGTCTGCATTAATCAAGGCTGGCCACGCAACATCAAAAACTTATCTCTCTTAGGTCGTGCTGGAGAATTATGGTAATTTTCTATATAGCTCTTTTGTCTGTCTTTGTTATTTGGCACCTCAGTTTTCTTCAAATCAGTTTTATTTTATATTACAACTAGTTGAACCAGAACATATCATGCCTTTATTTCTTTGTTGTTGTGTGCTGTCAAGTTGGAACTGACCCATAGCTGACCCCATAGCAGATTTTCAGAGGCAGTAAATCACATGGGAGGAGATTGTCCATCCTTCTCCTATGGAGCAGCTGGTAGATTCAAACCACATGCCTTTGAGATGGCAGTGCAGCTTCTTATGACTAGGCCACCATTAGTATTTAAGAAAACACATTTACAGCAATATGTTAGGAAGTTTGATCAATTAAGAGACAGTGTAGTTTGATCAATTAAGGGGGGAAAATTATGTCCCAGAGTTAGTACCTTTAAAGATTTTAATCCAGTTTGATTCAAGCAACTTCTAGTTGATTCTGATTTGTGATAAACTCATCTGTGTCTGAGTAAAACCATGTTTTGTAGGGTATTTTTGTAGGATGATTTTGTAGGATATTTTGTATGGTGATTTTTTAGGAATTGATCACCAGGTCTTTCTTTCAAAACAATTCTGGGTGAATTTGAACTGTCAACTGTTCAAGGAGTATTTGAGTGTGTTAGCCAATAGCACCATGCAGGGACACACATTCTAAGTTATGTCTGATTATTATCAGACTACATTTCAGAGATTTATATTTCCATTCATCTATATTTTCCACCAATTAAATATACCACATTATAAGAAATGTGGTAGGTCTTTTCCTGTCCTCAAAGCATGCAAACCTAGTTGTTGTTGTATGCCATGGGGTTTGAACCAGGCCATAGCTGGCTCTCCTGTGGATTTTCAGAGACAATTAATCACATGGGAGGAGACTTCCCATCCTTCTCCCAGGGAGCAATTGATGGATTCAAACTGGTGATTAATTAAATGTAAGAACTGACATTTAGATACTGATTTGTAACTTTCAAAACATGAGTAAATATGATCCTCTCAGCCATGTTGCAGATACAGAGTTGAGATTATTATACCTAATATGGAGATGTGGAAGCCAAATTCAGACTTTGTCAACTTTACTTTGTTAGTCAATAGTATAAAAGAGAATTGGACCTAATAGTTTTAAATTTTGACTTTAGCAAAAGGAGTAATAATAGAAATTAAGTGATCATTTCAATAGGATGCCTCATGAGATTGTACTGGGATTATGGAGAAGATGAATTTTCTGGCTGGAAAGATCAATAAGGACTTGATGACTCTGGGAAGGACTCATGCGTGTCCTTAGTGGTGTCTGCTACCCTTAATGAAATGGGGATAGCACATTGGTTATGAGAAAATTTTCCTGCTGAAGAGTTTCCTCAAGGCAGCCTTCATATCTCGGTTTCTCAGACTGTAGATGAAAGGATTTAGCATTGGAATCACTGCCATGTACATCACAGTTATCACTGCATCCTTTAGGCTGTAACTGGTCAGAGGACGGAAATACATGCCCATCACCGTTCCATAATACAAAGAAACAACTGTGAGGTGGGAGCCACAGGTGGAGAAGGCTTTGAGCAAACCTTTAGTGGATGGAACCTGTAGGACAGTGGCAAAGACCCGAATATAGGAGATAATGATGCATACTAATGGCACACAGAAAACACCAACTCCTAGGTACATCATTTTTACATTAAAGTGGATATCAGAGCAAGATAACTTGAGCAATGGGGTAATGTCACAGTAAAAGTTGGCCACTTCCTTGTTGCCACAAAAGGACAAACGAGCTGTAAGCAAAGTATGGGGGAGGGCATTGGAATTTCCAATCACCCATGACCCAACAACAAGCAGGATACAAGATTTGGGGCTGATAATTGTTGTGTAATGAAGGGGGCGGCTGATGGCCACAGCACGATCATAAGCCATTGCAGCCAAGATATAGCTGTCTGTGTTACCCAAGGCAATCATGAAGTACATCTGTGTTAGGCATCCTCCAAACGAGATGGCTTTGCTGCTCAAGAGGTGGTTTGCCAACATCTTAGGGACCGTTACAGATGAGAACAGGATGTCAACAAAGGAAAGATTGGCAAGGAAAAAGTACATGGGATTGTGAAGGCGGATGTCAGAGCGAATGGCCAAGATGATGAGCAGATTTCCAACCAATGTGATGGGGTAAATAAACAGGAAGAGGATGAAGAAGACGTCTTCCTGCTCCTGCTTGCCAGTAATTCCCAGGAGAATGAAGCCCAGGGTGGAGGACTGGTTTTCTTCCCTCATGGCTCCTTGATCATGAAAGAGAGAAGAATCAAGAATTATTAGTTGATTACTCCATATAATAATCTCCATTGTCTACTACTACTTTTGACTCTTGTTGTCAATTATCTAATGTTTTCCAAGGAGAACTCTGCTGCTTTCTCTCCTCGCCCTACCCACTCCGTCTCTCTCTCTCTCTCTCTCTCTCCCCCCTTCCTCCCTCCCTCTCTCTATAAATTGGAACCAAATCATAGATGATCCTCCAGCTCTTTTCTGAGGTTGTAAATAGCACAGGAGAAGATTGTCCATTTTTTCTCCAAAGACTGGCTGGTGGATTTGAACTACCAGAGAGGCTCAGCCTTTGGGTTAGAAGTGCAACTCTCTACAGACTATTCCACTAGACATATGCTACATATAGTTAAAAGAGGCCTAATTATCTTTCATTCAGAATCATATGATATGGACATTAAAGATTTCAGAGGCAGAGTTCTTGGCAACATGGCTGACTGAGTTGATATAAACACTTATAAAAGTTCATTGCCATCGAGGTCTAACTATCTCATAGTTGACCCTCCATTGAGTTTTCAGAGCCTGTTAGTTGCATGAGAGGAGATTGCCCGCCCATCATTTCCCCACAGATCTGTTGGTGGATTCGAACCACCAGAGAGGCACCACATTTAGATTAGTAGCACAACTCAATATGTCCTATGCCATCAGAGCTCCCAAATGGATATGTTGTTGTTAGGTGCAGTCAAGTGGTGTAGAGCGAACCTATGAACAATGTTTTCCTATCTTGTGCCATTCTCATTCTTATTAGGGAGCTCTAGTGGCCTAGTCCACCAGAGTATATAGTATGTAGAATTAATAGAATATAGCTTTATCTTCAAGGAAATATAAGAGATTTTATACATAGAGACTCTGGCAAGTGTATTGGCTAGAAACTTATATTTAAAAACTTAATACTTTTCTTCTGTATTTACTAAACCAAACTCATTGCCGTTGAAGTGGATTCTGACTCACAGCAACCCTGTAGGGCAGATTAGAATTGTCCGTAGAGTTTCTTCATGGAAGTGGACTGCCCAGTCTTTCTCCCATGGAGTAGTTATGTGTTTGAACCACTGACTTTTTGGCTGGCAGAGAAATTATTTAACTACTGCATCACTAGGATTTCTGTCCCATACTTAAATAGCAACACAAAAGAAAATATCAGCCTTCCCCAAACTTCAACGTTATTGTTGTTGTTGATGGCCATTGAGTTGAGGACGACTCATAGTGAGCCCGTGAACAAAAGGCCTGAAACCTTTCTATAACTATCATCATTTATCACTTCATAGAGTTTCCAGAGGCATGTTGTTTAGGAGGTGGATGCCTCTCCTGCTTCCAAAAATTTCAATAGCAATGACAATTTTAAGAGCTTTAGAAATAATTCAATGAAAGAAGTAGAAAAAAGTTTATAAAGCTTTGCTGAAGGACAAAAAAGAATACCTGAATAAATGGGTTCATGCTCTGGTGGTGTAATCTGTAGGAAGCTGTGCTGCTAACCCAAACAGCACCTCTCTAGTTTGGATCTAACAACTACTTCATGGAAAAAAGATGGGCTATCTTCTCACATGAAACTTATAACCCCTGAAAACTCTCTGGAGGGTCAGGTATGAGTTGGTTCTGACTCAAAGGCAATGAGTTTGAGTTTTGTTGCAATGCTGATAGAGAGAAAGACTTAACGGGGTGGAAATACCAGTTATCCCTCACTTGGTCTGTGAATTTGATACAATACCAATCAAAAACCCACTGTTTGGATTTTGGGGGTTTTGTCACAAAAGGACACATATAAGGCTACTGTTATAAAAGGTTAGGGAATCTGTGGTATATTCGCACAATGGAATTCTATGCTGCATTGAAAAATAAGGAACTCATGCAATATTATTCAAAATGGGTGACCCTGGAGGACATTATGCTGAGTGAGGTATCTCAGTCACAAAGGGACAAATGCTATATGGTGCCACTGTTGTAGAATGAGGCTGGCATTGGGGTGGGGGTAAGAACTGAGAAAAACTGGATGAAATATGTTTACGGCATTGAAGTCTATGGGGGAGAGAATAGTCTAAAAGTATTATATTTTAGGGCATTATTTTTATCGTAGGAGTATGCAATGAGGGTTGCAGAGTGGATTGTATTTGGGGGTAGGGGGTGGGGTTTGGGGAGGTGCGGGGGGGGTTGTGTACCAATGAGGGAGTTTTTCTTTTGCTTTTCAAGGAGAGGAGCAAACGGTGGGGGCGGGGGGGGGGCCAGAGGGGAGGGGTTTGTGCAGAGAGAAGGGTGCAACAATGAATGAATGGAATCCCAAAATCTCTGTAGATGTTAATTGACATGAAAAATAAACAACCTAAATTTAAAAAAAAAAAGGTTAAGGAAAATTTACACATAGTTAGACTCATCCTTGAATAGTTACCAGGGATGTGAAGGGAGGGAGGTGAGTAAAAACTAGTAAATAGGTAAGACACATATTAAGATGAGAGAAGGGAAAGTCAAAATCCAATAAGGGGATGACTAGGACAAAAACATCAAAGAAAGGGAAGACTCAGAAAGGTGAAGAAGGATTAATGCAAATCAGAATTACATGGCCGAAAGAAAAGTGTCAAGTGGGTACTGAAATTACTTATAGAATAAAATGTGTGTGCATGATCGCCGTACCTTTTCAATCTGTATGCAAAACAGAACATTCGGGAGGCTGAGCTTTATGAGGAGGAATGTGTCATCAGTATTGGAAGAAGACTCATCAACAACCTGTGATATGTAGATGATACAGCTTGCTTGTTAAAACTGAGGAGGACATGAAGCATTGGCTGCAGAAGGTCAAGTACTGCAGTCTTCAATATGGATTGAAACTCAACATCAAGAAGACAAATATTCTCACCACTGGGTCAATTGGCAGCACCATGATGGATGGAGAAGAGAATGAGGTTTTAATAATTTCAGCTTGCTCAGCTCCAAAATCAACACTCTTGTCACCAGCAGCCTGGAAATCAAAAGACGAATTGGGAAAATCTGCTGTCAGGGACCTCTCCAAAGTGCTAAAGAATATTGATGTTGGTCTAGGGACTAAAGTGCACTTGATCCAGGCCATGGTCTTCACAATTACTTGCAATGCACTAGAGAGCTGGACAATGACTAAGGATGACAGAAGAATTGATGCCTTTGAATTGTAGTGCTGAAGATGAGTATTGGACATACAGTGGACCACCAAGAGAACAAACAGGTCAGTTTTGGAGAGGGTGAAACCAAGTTTGTCCTTGAAGGCAAGGATTTTGAAGCTCTGTCTTACGTATGTTAGGCATATGGCCATGGTGGGACCAATCCTTGGAGAAGGATATCATGCTTGGAATGGTGGAGGGACAGCACAGGAGAGGAAGATCCTGGATGAGATGGATTGACACAATAAGTGGGGTAATGGGAGTAGTGAGACTGGCTCAGGTTAGGGCAGGGTTCAGAGCTATTGTACATAGGGTGGCTATGGGTTGCAGGTGACTCAATGGCACATACCAACAACATAGTTGATAAAAGGGGAAAAATTTTGCTTTGTGAATCTTCACTCAGATTACAATTAAAGAAGGAAAAAACTCTACACCATGATATATTACAATCTAACCATGCAAAAAATAAGAGGGCCTAAAATAGAGAAAATAATTTGAGGAAAGGGAATAAGGATGCCACACCCGCCTCGCTGTCCTCTCTGGCCACGACGCCTGTGTGACAAAATGGGTCGTCCGTGCCTGTACGGGGTCTCTGACCTCAAGGATAGCATAAGAGGGAACCTTGCAAGCCCTGTGCTTGTGAGTGGGCTGATGCCTGGATATTTGTTACAGATGGGTCTTCGTAATCCTAGGAAACCTCTGGAAATTAAGTTGCTTCTAGGATAAGAATGGGAGTTTCTGGGGAATAATCAGGGGAACTTCACCAGAACTGGGATAAAGATTTAATTAAAGTTTTTAATCAGGAACCATTTGATGTTCCTGGAAATGATAACAAACAAGCTGAAAATATAAAAGAAATTGAGATTGTTCTTAAAAGTATAATTTTGAATATGATCTTTGAGTATGTATCTAATTCCTCTTTTGTGATACTTGCAACTCATATTCAGCAATGTAATTGTATATTAGGAGAAAGTTTAGACTAGTTTTAACAGCAGAAAGTCATAGTTAATGATAATAAAACAGAGAGGTTTAAGAAAAGACTCAAAAGACAAACTTCTCTAAAAGTAAAGGTCTCTTTAAGAAATAGGAAATATTACCAGATAAATCACAGGTGGTGGGAAGAAAGTACTTATAAAGGACCATATGTCCTGCCAACTCCAACACCAGTACCTCTTCCTTATACAGACGTTTTGTATTCCAAGGAAAAAGAATTGAATAGTACAGATTAACTTGGTAAAAACAAGTTAAAGGAAGTCGTCCACCTTAGTGCACATTGCCAAACAAAAAACAAATTAAAATCTTATGACAAGTTGCAAAAACTATTGTTAAATATAGGAATGGTCCAGAGTGTAAGAAAATAGATGTTAAGATTCGTTAGGTACAGTACAAATATGAGTACAAAGGCAAAAACAAAGGTGGCTAAAATACAGTGACACAAAGTAAGAGAGGAAAGGAAGTGAAATGTAAACCATTAACCATTGTCGAGCAGATGACCAACATAAGGTCATTGTGTTTCTTGTTCAAAGAATGTTTAATAGCCGATGCTATTATTTAGTAATAGAAAATACTTTCTTTTTGTTAAAATCTTATGTGAGCTTTGTAATCACAAAATGTTGGCTATAAGTCAAGTTTAAACAAGTTTAAATGTATAAAAAGCAAGCTTTTAGCATAATAAATCAGAGCTCTCTACATCATCCTGGTGTGCAGACTCTCATTTTCGCCGACTTCGTCCCTCACCTGCTCTTCACCAAGAAACCCCTTGAGTTTCTTGTCACGACCGTAGTCGGGTGGTCGGTGACATAAGGAGAGAGGAATTGCCCTATCAGGAATTTA